GTCAATTCTGACTAATGACCATCCCGTGTATGTCAGAGGAGAACTGTGTTCCATAGGGTTTTCAGTGGCTGATTTTTCAGAAGTAAATCACTAGGCCTTTATTTTGCCTCTGGGTGGACTTAGTTAGCCACTGAGCCATTAAGCAGTCTCTGTATGCACCCTTAAGCAAAGCCAAATGAATCTTCCTCCCCCCTTTCAGTCTCTCAGTAGTTAATTCCCACTTCAGCTCACAGGCCAAGTCCAGAACCTTCTTTTAGCTTAAACTAAAACTATTAAGTGCTCCTATAACTTTTCCTTCTATTCAGCGACATTCCCAAGGCATAATCATCAAGTTAAGTCTTAACATCAGGCAAAACTTAAGGTCTCCTCTCAGTCTGGGGAGCAATGCCTCTTACTCTCTCTTGAGATCAGTCAGCCCAGGAAGACGAAGTAAAGGCAGGGCCAAGCAAAACTGGCAGACCTGGCAACACAGACAGACGTAGAAAGCAATGGAATCAGGTGCATGAGACTTCAACCAAGCATTGCACCTCCCTGGAACTCAAGGATGTCTAGGTAACCCAAGAGCCATGGTCAATAAATTAAAAATTGTCAATACCAGCAATATGTAGCATAGTTGCTCCCGTAGAGACTTGAGTGTCCTGTTCCATTACCCAACAGCCTCCAGTTGACTAGCTCCAGTGACAAAAGAAACATGCAGATTTATGAAACTTACTCAGAAAGAGAAAGAAAAATGCCATGTGTGGGATGCGTGCCATTTGGACCGGTCGAGACCTTTCCTGGTGGTGTCACTGAAGTTGCTTAGAAGCTGGGTGACAAACACTGTGCTCTCACTACAAAGAGGAAGCAATAATGTGGTCTCCAGCCCACTAAGAAATAGACATGTCTTGCACAAAGCAAAACTGGTTGCAGTGTGCAGCTCTTTGCTAATCACTCAAATTTGGGTGTGAAAAAGTTAGTTACCTTCGTGGCTAAGTAAACATATACAAGGTAAAAATACGAAAAGATGAGTCCCATCCGAGCGAAATATGTACCATTAGGTAATCACAAGAGAATTGAGGTAAACTGAATAAATAAAAAAGCAACCAGAAATGTTCTCTTCTTAACCTTTACCTCTCCTCCCATTTTGGGAGAGGTGAGGAACTGAGAAATGAGAGAAGGGCCCCTGGAAAACATGAACTTGGGGTGATAGGTGGTGGGAAAGATATAGGCTCTGGAGTCAGATTGCCTGGGTTTGCACCTAGATTCTATTTTTAGTAGCTGTGCAATCTTAGAAAAGCTAATTAACCTTTTCCAACCCTCCTCTCGGTTAACCCTGCATTGGGCAAATCTGCTGCAAAAGACCTCTTTGAAATGTTAAAAAGCAAAGATGTCACTTTGATGACTAAGGTGCACCTGACCCAAGCCATGCTGTTTTCAGTCATCTCATATGCATGCGAAAGCTGGACAATGAATAAAGAAGACCGAAGAAAAATTGATGCCTTTGAATTATGGTGTTGGTGAAGAATATTGAATATAGCATGGACTGCCAGAAGAAAGAACACGTCTGTCTTGAAATAAATACAGCCAGAGTGCTCCTTGGAAGCGAGGACATTTTATCAGGAGGGACTAGTCCCTGGAGAAGGACATCATGCTTGGTAAAGTAGAGGGTTAGTGACAAAGAGGAAGACCCTTGACGAGATGGATTGACACAGTGGCTGCAACAATGATTCAAACGTAGCAACGATTGTGAGGATGCTGCAGGACTGAGCAGTGCTTCGTTCTGTTGTACACAGGGTTGCTATGAGTCAGAACTGACTCAACAGCACCTAACAACAATAACCCACATCTGTAAAATTGGGATACTAACAGTATGTACCCCATAAAAGTGCTTTGAGAGTTGAATGAAATAATTCATTTAAAGCATTTAGAACACTATCTGGTACATGGTAAATGTTCAATAAATAATAGCTACCATTATCACAATCATGGGACATTTAAGTGAATCTTCATTCACTTACATGGGGCATCAAGGATGGTGGGGAGGAGTAGGATGCCTAAATGCAACAGCTAGCACTGAACCCAGGTTGTCATGGATTGAGTTGTGTCCCCCAAAAATATCTGTCAGCTTGGCTGGGTCATGATTCCCAGTATTGTTATGATTGTGTTATCTGATGTGATTTCCTTATGTGTTGTAAACTCTATCACTATGATGAGATTATATGTGATCTCTTTATGTGTTGTAAATTCTATCACTGTGATGAGGTTATACTGATGAGGTTGACAAGATTAGTGTCTTAATGCAATCTTTTTTGAGATATAAAAGAGAGAAGTGAGCAGAGACACATAGGAACCTCATACCACCAAGAAGGCAGTGCAGGGAGCAGAGCGCGTTCTTCAGTCCTGAGGTTCCTGCGTAGAGAAGCTCCCAGACCAAGGGAAGATTGATGACATGGACCTTCCTCCAGAACCGACAGAGAACGAGTTCCCCTGGAGCTGATGCCCTGAATTTGGACTTGTAGCCTACTAGACTGTGAAGAAATAAACTTCTCTTTATTAAAGCCATCCACTTGTGGTATTTCTGTTGGAGCAGCACTAGATGACTAAGACACAGGTCAAGCTAATCCTACTCTATTCTTAGAAGGCAAGACCATACAAGGGATGGGCTCACAGAAGACATTAGTTCTCTAGGTCAAACACAGATCTAGATTGGTCAGTAACAAATTGGACTGCTTCAGGCCACAGTTACAGGAAGATGCCTGCTGCATCCATCCATCCATCTTTTAGTACTTCTACGTTCCCCAGGTCAAACATAGATCTAGATTGGTCAGTAACAAATCGGGCTGGTTCAGGCCACATTTACAGGAAGATGCTTGCTCGTCTGTCTGTCCATCCATCCATCTTCTAGCACTTCTATGTTCTGGGTGTTGTAGTAGGTTCTGCACATACAAAGATGTTCACAATCCACTCTCTGTTCTCAGAAAGTTCTCAATCAGATAAGCACAATGTAATGTGGCCAGCACAACAATCATTCCTAAAGGAGTGAGGGAAGTTTGTGGGCAGGTGTGAAAGTCAAGATAGATTGTTGGGTTGGGCCATATGAGATAACTAGGGAGGAAGGTGGCCAGGGACAGTTGGGGAGAAACAGTCTAGCATGGACAGTCACACCCAAGCAGCACCCTCCTATAGAAGAAGCTTGAAGCAGGTGTGAAGGGAAAAGAGTCTATAGGGTAGGTGGGGGCAGCTGTTAGCAGGTCTTGCATGCCAGGCCTTTCACTGTAGCAAAGGGGGCTTATTAAGAGGGTTTTTAGGAGGAGCATGGCATTGTCCGATTTTCCTTTTAAATTGAGTTCTATACTTGTGTATTACTTACTGGTTGAAACGAAGGCGACAAAGCTAGAAGCAAGAAGGCCAGTTAGAAGAGCTTTGCAGTTGTCTGTATGAACAATGAAGAGGGTTGGAATTAGGGCAATTAAAGTAAAGATGGGGAAAGGGATATATGAAAAAATAATCAAGTATTTACTAAGTACCCTTTCCCCAACAGGCACCCTGCCAGGCACCAGAGATCCATACATAATTGAAGTATAGCCTCTGATTTTAAGGAGTTTCTGTTTGTGATGGCGCAGGGTGATGGAGGTGAACAAGAAAGAAACTAGAAAACAACTGGCTATCACACCAGGTAGGTGAGGTCCCTGAAGAGAAATACAAATGAAGGGATATGGATGTTTGGAGGAGAAAGAGAGCAAATCTAATTTGGGGAGAATAGGTCATGAAAATCTTCGGGGGAAAGATGGCATTTTAAGGTTGGATTTATTTTCCTAGTGGAATTGTAGTGGAGTAAGGTAACATTCACAAGGAGCCCTGGTGGCACAGTGGTTTTAAGTGCTTGGCTGCTAACTGAACGGTCAGCGGTTCGAGTCCATCATCTGCTCCGTGAGAGAAAGATGTGGCAGGCTGCTTCTGTAAAGATTTCTGCCTTGAAAACCCTATGGGGCAGTTCTACTCTGTCCTATAGGGTTGCTATGAGTCGGAATTGCCTAGATGTCTCTGTCTTCGTCATCTAGTGCTGCTCTAACAGAAATACCACAAGTAGATGGCTTTAACAAAGAGAAGTTTATTCTCTCACAGTCCAATAGGCTACAAGTCCAAATTCAGGGCATCAGCTCCAGGGTAACTCGTTCTCTGTCGGTTCTGGAGGAAGGTCCATGTCATCAATCTTCCCTTGGTCTGGGAGCTTCTCTACGCAGAAACCTCAGGACTGAAGAAC